AGCCGCTGCTGCTCGATCCTGCCCAACCAGAGACAAGGTTAAGCCGCTGCTGCTCGGTCCTGCCCAACCAGAGACAATGTTAAGCCGCTGCTGCTCGATCCTGCCCAACCAGAGACAAGGTTAAGCCGCTGCTGCTCGATCCTGCCCAACCAGAGACAATGTTAAGCCGCTGCTGCTCGATCCTGCCCAACCAGAGACAATGTTAAGCCGCTGGCAACAAAGCACTTCACCACATAAACAGAATCGCATATTGAATCATGTTATAATTTGCAGAAAAAAAGTGAAATAATGGGAAAAAACTATAGACAGAGGTTATTACATTGACAGTGACAGTCGCTGCTGCATTCCTTCACTGACACATCAAAAAGTTGAACAATAATTGCTGTTAAAATTTAAGTGCAATAAGGCAGCATTACTTTCTACAAATTTATGTTTGTGGACAAAACACATAGTCAGAATAACAGTTAATGAGACTTAGATCTATACATGGGTTTTAGAGCAAAATTTGTCTCATTTACTTTTAAAAAAATGAATTTAAAAAGCAGCAGCAAATGTTTCTATGTATTTATGCGTTTTAAACTTACGATTACAGTGCCATGCACAAAGTATTTGCCCCTTTCGAATTAGAATTAGAACTATTTTTGCTACATTTACCTACAATTAGGGTACAATTGGCAGACCCTTAAGGGTACAGCCCCAGTGACAAGCAATAACTTCACTCAAAACTATGTTCACATTCATAGAAATCAAATTTCTGGCCAGCTGCTAACCAAAAGACTGAATAGTATTCATTATCCCGATTTTCTCTTTGGATCAGGGTCAGTCCCATTCCATGATGTTTTTTTCAAACACATGACAAACAGACAACATGCCTGGACATACATGATAAAATTGCTCATCAAAGCACTGAGCATCAATAGAAATTTTTCCACATACAGCATCACTGTAGATAAATGTCCTTCCTAATGCAACAGCTTGGTTTTTTACGAGGCTGAAATGCTTTGCAGGCTGACCTACCAGCAAATGAAATGGTCAAATATTGCATAGTAGAAGAACACACTATGGGGAAATGTAATTTCACCTTGACATTCTGGTTCTTCGTGTTGATTGGGGGATTCTTGAGAACCGCTTGCAAAGCTCCCATTAAGTTGCCTGTTCAGAGAGGGGTTAAGGAAAGTACCCGAGAACAGTACTAAAGCCGAAGCAGCCCCCTGTGCCATATTAACAGGAAATAACTTAGTCATGCCTCCCAGCCTGGGTGATCAGTGTTTCACAGGGCAGGGTTTAGGCTGACTGTGTACCTGGATGGGTTTCATCAGTCATGAAATAGGAAGTTTCAAAGCAAACGCCTTGTAACTTAATATGGGCTTTACATCAGAAAGCTAAAGTATATTTAAATGTCCCTTCCAACGCAGAAGGGCGGCTCAGGGGTAGCACTGCCGCCTCACAATAATTTAACACCACTGCTTCATGTTCTGGACTAAGTTCCTGTTTTCCACGTCTCTTTTATGATTATATATATGGCGATGTTAAGTGCATGCACTTAACAGGAAACACACTGAAACAGAGTATATAGACATATAAGGCATTCGTCCTAGCGCCAACTTCCCCGTCTGACGTATGCTGCCGACACAAACTCACATTCAGCCTAGACAAATCCAGCAAAGAAAGTGTTTACAGCCTTGAAATGCAAACTTAACTAAACACGGAAATCTCTGTCACTGCAAGCGATACTTTACTGGGTCTCCATTCCTGTCGAGTTATGTCAGTCAAGTCCAAACACATACGATGCCTGTCTAACAGATATAGAGACATGCATCAAGGTTCATGTGTGCAAGTCCATCTCGTCATTCATTTTTAAAGCCGTTAAGCTAAGAAATCTCCTTTTCTAGGCATTTTCGCCCTACCACCCGAATTTGGATTTTATAAAGCCCTAAAATCGTACGATAGTGTAATGAAAAGTAACATGTGTTAATCCATCGCTTTTCAGTTATGCAGCTCTAATAATAGGCTGTCAAACCTTCAAACCGTCGCGCTGCTCTGTGCAATATACTTTGCAAACTGAAACACACAACTGTATCGTGTGTTGTCAGCAGTAGCTGTGTTTTTGTTAACCAGCTCCAGTCCCCAATACATCGAACCTTAGGCTATGTAAAAACGAGCCCGTCCTGCGCCACACCCTTCAGACCGACCTCGTCACACTGACAGCACGATCGCCGTAACCCCCGCTCCTTAAAATCATTACTATGCCAACAAGGCATCGTGCACACAAAGGAGCAGCAAATAATGATCATGGGGGTGACAGCTTCCCTAATCGACACATGACTCCGGCCACAATGCAAGGATATTGTCTGATCAGCGAGTCCACTTCTGCCTCATCCGGACCGAGCTGATTTTCTCCTCCTTCCTCCTCATCCACAAACTTGTTCTCGTCGTATTCATCGACGTCGACCTTCCTAAAGCGGTCCGACACCGTGTTCTTCGACATGTTGCCGTGCAGCCCTGCAGCCTTCAGTGAATTGCGATGCACGACCAGCCCGAGCCCCACCCGCTACCTAACGCACGGCTCTCCGCACTCCGGACTGCAGTTTCCTTCCTGTCTCACTCGTCTGCATTTTACTCACTTCCGCAATTTTGTCCCACCCTCTTTTTGGGGGGCGGGGTGTACTTACATAGATATATGTGGGGTGTGTGTATACTACATATATATAATACATATATATATATATATATATATATATATATACATATATANACACTTGCACATACAAGAATGGTTGAGCGATCAATATCATTATTATTATTACTTTTTAGCGTGTGTTATAGATGACAATATACATGTATATGGGTAGGATCACGTGTGTGTGTTTGCTACATATATATAATACATATATATAATACCTATTTGTAACATTATTAATTATTATTATTGATATTGTTGTTATATTTTTTGTTGTTTGATGTCCTTGTAATGAGTGTTATGTTTCTTTTGGTAGTTTATATTCTGTATTCCCCTACACTTAATTTTCTCCATCCCAACTACATTATTAGTGCCATTATTTCTGTATACCTTTGTTTTCTTTTCTTTTCTTTTCTCTCCCCCTCTCACCATTGTGATTAATGTCTGTTATTGTTACGATTTCCTTCACGGTACTAGGACGGGTGAGTTCGGAGCGGCCACATTCTTTGCTCTTGAATTTAATATAAAATAAAGTTGTCCTCCAAAGAGGGGGGTGGTGGTGGTGGGCAAAAAAACCCCCAAAAACATACCATTATGCCTTATTGCATAAGTTATGCGTGTATGAATCTGGTTTTCCGTAAGTATACGGAACAAACACTAGGTGGGGCTAAAACTTGGCAGTTGAAGTAAAACTTCTTAACATCAGTGGTCATATGGGGTGTTGTGTATTTATAAAAAGAGATTAACTTTCTTTTTTAACAAACACATTGGGCAGTATATATCATACCAGCCGCTTACCCTGAGGAAATTCTTGAAATTATACATTCATGTTGTTAAGCACAGTGTTTATTGTTGCCTTGAGGACTGTACGTCTTAATTGTATTAGTTTGGCTTCCATTTCCTGTCCGCAACATAATTTTTTTTTAGTAGTGTAGCGTGCATACTCCCAGCATCCTAGTTGCGTATACCCTTAAAATGATGTTGAATAATGGCTTATGATCATTTCAAGTCACGAACGGCTGTTCGGTACATATCTCGTTTGTAAGTAGAGGAACATCTGTATTAACTGTTATTTGAGTCTCTCCATTTTAGCAATAGAAGACCCCCATTTCCACCAGTTTCACTGCATGTCCTGCTTCTTCTGATATACTCACTTCTACTCTGCTTGAATAACAGAAGGTTTTTGTTTCCCTTCTTTGGAACCAGTTCTGTCCATATTTCATTCATGAAAACCTCCTTAAGCTAAAAGAGTTCAGCTTGCGACATTCCTGCATCTCAAAGTATTTCTCCATAGCTTGAAAAAACTACCAAACCCGCTTGGTTGGTCAATATATATTTGTATATGAATCCAAATCACTTGTGAGTGGCAGTGAAAATTGCTTTTGCTGTGACTTTTCTCGTGAACACAGATCAACCTCCATCACCTCCACAAATTAAGTATAACAAGTGAACAGTGAAAAAATAGCCATTCCAGGATTATTCCTACTATAAGGCGGAGACATAACGTCTATTGCCATGAGGTTGATCACACCTAACAGAACTGCATTCCCTCTCAGAAACCCAACATGACTGACTGGCACAGGAATATCACGACGTTAATTTGTTTCAAGCCTCTCCCAGAACACCTGATTTTGTACCGGAGGCCATGTGTTAGGTGTTGATAAAATGACGCACGGTAAGAGCACTACTAAATTCTGGGAGGAACATGATTAATCCCCAATACATCCAATTTCACATAAATAGGAAAGCATGAATGGCAGTGAACAGAAGGTGCCCTGAGTGTATTGCTTCATCCACTGCAGAGTAACCATCTTGTGCTGGCATGTCTCCACGAATATCCACGAGTGCTGAAGAATCATTCTAACAGAAAGCTCCAGTTACAAAGTTGTATACCCAAATGGACAGCATTAGCTGCCGTTTAATTAAAACAAAAATACTCAAGGATTATTTTAAACAGGCACAATGTGTGTTGTCATTCAAAAAAGACAAGCATGTTAGGCAGCATCACACTGTATTATTTAAGATGTGGAAATAAATGCTTAATGAAAAACTTGAAATCAACAAACTTAACCAAACCTAAATTCAGATGGTAAGAGGATTTTATAACAATGAATCATGCACTGTAGACCATTACACCCTGGGTCCCTATTAGGGCTGTCACTTTTTAACCGATTGTTAATTAGTTACTTTACAAATGATTTTCATTAATGGAAACAATGGTTATTTATAGAGATACTTAAATTGGAGAATAAATGACAGTCAGGTGAAAGAGCACCACCAAGACCAAGATCATTACCTTACCCAGTTTCATCCTTCTTCCAAACAATCTAAGGCATGCTCTCTATCTCTTTCTTTCTTCCCTAACCTCCTTCTGTGACTTTATCTAAGGTACCTGGTAGATCTTTTCACTAAAACTCTATGACCAGAATACATCCAATGTGCATCCTCATAAAACTTACAAGCAAAGCAGATTCAATTAGTCTTATACCACTGACATGAGTAACTCAACCACGTGTCTGTTAGGGCCAGGCTCTTCCACAAGGTTCGATTCCAGAAACTGTTTTCCAGTTTAATCAAGGGTGAAACATGATGGGTTCTCTCTCCTGTTCAGAACGCAGCCCTTGATGGCATCTTTAATCACCTGGAAAAGCAAACAGGGACACTGAGGCATATGAAGGGGAAACAAATTCTCTGCTCTCACTGATCAAAAAGAGTAACGGCAACCACTCAACGAATGGCTGTGTTCAACTCATAAGAAATACATATCCTTAGCATTCTTAGGAGTCTTAATTAAACCTAAAACTAAGTCTGGGAAGATGTTTACAGGTACAGGGGGAAGACGGGACTCAACAGACCTCAATGTTGTTCAGAGTATTGAACTCCATGAGGTCATGCAGTCGGGCAAAGGCTTCATTGGAGTAGTGGAAGTTAAACGTGGAATAGGTGTTTTTTGGGTCATCAAATATCTTGAAATCAGCAAATTGCTTCTCTTCTCCATTCTCTCGAGGCACACCTGAACAAAACCATCAGCAGGCTTGCTTAGTGCTGTACAACAAAATATTATATTTACGAAATCAGCTAATTCATTAGGTTTAAAAATACATTTTGTTCATTAGTCATTCTTGCTGTGACCTTTATTTGACAAAAAATTGCTTTAACAGTCCATTTTGTCATTCATGTCTTAATGTACATTTTGTAGCATGTGGCTGCATCCATTCATCCATCTGTACCAGGCACAAAGCCACATGGTAAAATCATGAGACTTGTTGGCTCCCAAACAGGTATGTATCTAGGCACTAAAAAATCAAGTTTTTGACAGCACAGTTTTATATGCTAAAATGAATAAAAACACTAATATAGTGTTATAAACAGAATGTAGTGAGCAGGGTCTCTGGAGCCCAGTTTCCTGGCCTCTTCATTAGCATCCATCTCACCAGCAGCTGTCTGACCAACCAGCCTGTCACCATCAATCCCAGTTCAAGTGTCATGCCCACATTCACCCAGATCCAGAGCCCTGTTCGGGTCCCACTTCTGCGGATCCCGGGGCAGTCGACGATATCAGGGACGGCATTAAGGAAGATGTGAAGATGTCGGGGATATGCCATGCCATTCGGACTCCCTTCATTCCAGCTAGTCTACATCCACCAATCCATGCGTGACCACCGCAGCTCCTGTCTCTTCGTTCCAGCTAGTCTACATCCACCAATCCATGCATGACCACCGCAGCTCCTGTCTCTTCATTCCAGCAAGTCTACATCCACCAATCCATGCATGACCACCGCAGCNTCTTCATTCCAGCAAGTCTACATCCACCAATCCATGCATGACCACCGCAGCTCCTGTCTCTTCATTCCAGCAAGTCTACATCCACCAATCCATGCCTGACCACCTCAGCTCCTGTCTCTTCATTCCAGCTAGTCTACATCCACCAATCCATGCGTGACCACCGTAGCTCCTGTCTCTTCATTCCAGCTAGTCTACATCCACCAATCCATGCCTGACCACCGCAGCTCCTGTCCCTTCAGTCCAGCTAGTCTACATCCACCAATCCATGCGTGAGCACCACAGCTCCTATCTGTCCTTGTCTGTCCTGCTTCCCTTTTGGGTTCAGGTTCTCTCCTCACCTTTTTTCCTATTCTTTGCCATGAGGGTTTATCCTGTCTTTTACTGTCCCCGATCTATTGAACCTGTGTCTTGTTTCCCTGACTCCCCGTCCTGTGTGTCTGTCTCAGTCCTGGCAGTACCTCCCGTTCCCAGAGTGCATGCATTTGGGCGG